TGAAGAGTTAACAATGTCTTTTTTATCATCAAACCTACATAATACAAATATTATTTACATGCCAATAATGGATGCCCTTAAGGAGAACAGATGAAGTGTGATGGGATTTTCTTTACTCACCTCAACATACAGACTGAATTCCATCTTCTCATTCAGCCCATATTCATCCTGGATTTGGTGCAACCACTCTCATTTTACAATCTAACACTGTATTAATTATTATTTTCATCCCATTCATAGCGAAAATCCCTAGTCATAAAGCAGAATCCCACTGTGCTTGGCACTAGATAAACATCAAATTAAAGCTCAGGTTTCTCCAGATAAAAATTCCGGGCTCCTTCACAGCAAGATAAAAGTACCATAAAAATTTTATTAGAGTAAGTCTTCCATGCTGTTATCAACAGGTAATCTGGCATTTGTATAATGGTCTTTGTTGATTTATAAAGTATTTAAGGAAAATAAGATACAAATTGGTAAAGTGTACAGCAGGAGATGAAGTGTTATTTAATTCTTTTTGCATGAAAAACCTACATTCAAACTGACTTGGTCTTGTTTGTCTTGCTTCTTCTAACATTGATTTTCCAGACTAGAAAGTATTTCTTCATTCTAGAAGCAACAGAAATAATTAGTTATGCATGTAAATTTTACAGACTGTCACACCTGCTGTCGCAACAGCTCATTAATAGCACTTACGCTGTTGGGAGACAAATGCAAATCTATTTAGCCAATTTCTACTTTCTAAAGCTGCTCCCAAACATTGCCTCCACACCTCTTGACAGATGTATGAAAAATATAGCTAAAGCAGAGGCCTGTTGTACCTCAACAAAAGACAAAGTACACTAAGCAAAAATTAATATTAGCTTGTTTTAAACCCAGACATAAGCATACTTAATAGACTGTAACTGCATACGCATTTTTGTGCCGAGTAAAAATAGTACTGCCTCTGCCAGTAATAAACCAGAAGCTTTAAGCTAACTGTGCCTTATGTTAACTGCATCAAGCCCCAGTCCTGGCCAGTTAGGCTTGTTACCAACTTGTTCTGAGAACTTCCTGTGTAAACTGGACTTTGGTAGCAGAGTTTCTTCATGGGACATAGGTTAAGCATGGGATAACAGTAAAGGCCTTGAAGATACGGCCACAGGTTGAAAGCAAAGGGTCCCAGAACCCATAACTCACTGATGGTCAGTTACTGGGCAGTGATAAAACACAACCCCCAAAGCTGGGCAAACATTACTTTTGCTTTAAGAAAAGAAACAGCAGTTAACTAAGGAAAATCAACAAAGAAACAAAACAAAAAAACCCCCAGCCAAGCTACAGGATAACGCACCTGCTGCAGCCTGGGAAAGTACTCATTAAGCTTTTGCAACACCTAGCACAGAGGCAGAAGCCAATTTTCTAGAAACAATATAAACACGGTACATTTATAAATGGGTAGGATCCCCAATGTGGTTGGGCGGGAAGAAGAGATGCAACATGTTCATTATCGTTTCAGCTTCCCTTGGTAGACAGGTTTTGAGTCTTATCTCCTCAACGTCAGTGACCAAGGCAATCAAGAACTGTGCTAAACATACCACATCAGCTCTGTGGTACTTCATACTCACAGACAAAGATTGTGAAGGATTAACTGACTATGGAGTGATAATGACTGATAATGGATATGAACTAAGAATTAACATAAAGTGTGTAGTTCAAGAATGCCAGTTTAGTAAAATTTTGTTTAGAAGTTTAAAATTGGCTTCTCTGTCTTCTAAACATTGCCATCACAGCAATCTTTAATTCTCTAATTGACACATATACACACATTCAGTAACAAAAAACCTTTTAGGAATTTTGTGGAGCAATGTAATGAAATAAAATCATGATTACTTTGGTTAATTTTTATATGTGGAATGTGGCACTGGCACACATAAAATGCATTTGCAAAACTATGTGAAATTTGTGGTGCCATCATTGTGATGACTGATGAACGCAGAAAAACCTTGCATGCACAATCCAACATGAGACACAGGGTCAAGTACTAAAAGTTAATCACTTCCAGCAATATCCTTCAGATGAAAGTAAAAAATAAACCAGAAACAAGGATCTCCTACTAAAAAGTAATAAAAGTAAAATATTGAGACAAATGTGTAGGACGTGGATGCTTAATATTAGTCTAAGCAAGAGGTTAAAATTCAGCTATCATGTTTTTACTGATGTTTCCAAAACAGCCAGCCACTAAATATTTTCTTCTATTTTACAGTATGTAATTTGCTTGAATGCATTCCATATAAGGTGAATGGTATTAGCTATTTCATGCATTCTATATAATGTGAAAAAGAACAAATGGAAGAATTAACTTGCCTCCTAAAATTTAGCGCATAGGAAGATATTACTAGAGATATTCTTACTTTTTCTAAGGTTAAATAAATAAACATGAAGAAACAAAAAATAACAGAAGAGAAAAGAGGATGTTTGGTTCTGTTAATGATTTAGTCATAAGAACCGAAAAGATTTTGAGTAGTCTTTAGATATTGTAATTCTTGAAAATGCCTATGAAGAAATTAACAGTATTAAGTTCAAATTTTATCATACAAAGATATTGAAAATTATTACTGTAACTGGTTAGCTTAAATTAATTTTTTTTCATTTCCTTACCTGAAATTGGAAAAGAAATTCAAATTGAGTAACCTATAATACATCTGTCTTTCATGCAGCCATTGTGGCACCGGTGTTATTTCCATTTCTCCTAATTTATGGCCTGCAGAAAACTAGGGAAAAAAATAAGAAAAAATACACAACTTCTTTTCAAAAAGAATTTGACAAGTGTTACTGAATCTTCATTATCAAAGGCAAAAGCATGAATACTGATGACCACAGTGGTGGCAAAATGTACCATTTATTTTGTCTAACAATGCAGGTTTTGTTTAATTTTGACAAACTTACAGTTACTACTTATTTTTATCATTTTAAATATTAAGATGTTTCTATCATTCAAAATATGTCATTATGGCACATACACACTATTCAGAAAAGTATTCAGGCAGATATCCGAGTCTGTCCTTAGTAAGGAAAGCCCCTCAGTACATTTTAAAATCCATTTATTTAGGTTTACTGAATACCTTTCTTATAGAAAAATGCTTTATCTCACAGAAAGTATGTAAGAAGGAGAAATCTGAATGTACTTATTTACTGCTAGCAAGTAAAACTATGGAATATCAATTTCTTCCCATCACCACATGATGCAACGCTGAATAAGAGGAAAAGAGAGTTAGACTTATGGAAAGATTTCCAATACAATGTGGGCAGATATATCCACCCAGAGGGCAGTCACCATAATACCTTCTGGCAGCAAGCTCTAAAAAAACTTTTCTTGAACCTCTGCCATATCTTTCAGTTAGGCAAAAAACATCTTAGAACCAAATCAACAACAGAGTAAGCAAACAGATTTTCATTCTCCAAAGAGAATGTTCACAGCTGTGTGAAACGATATAAAAATTACAAATTGTAAATTAACATAATTCCTTTTCAAATTATGGACTGGCATCTGACTGGCAAGAATACAGTAAAGTGGCAATGGGCAGATGTACTTTTGTAGAAATCTTCATTAGCTTTCATGGGAGTATAAGAGACAGAAGACTGGCTACTAAGCACTAATTAATTGTTTTCAATGAATCATTCTGTGGTTTAGCCAAAGCAAGTAGTAGATCTTTCACTACAGACGCTTTGGAACAAATCACGTTGTATTTAAATCAAGACTGTACTTCAAATTTATGTACTACAGCAAGCATTCTGAAGGCAAAAGAACAAGGTCACAGCCTTTTTTTCCCAGTAAGGTTCCCAACATTTATTTTTTTCTTCCAATCTGGTTTTATAAAAGCTTAGTACCTCCACTGGTAGCAAATACATCTCCATTTTAACAACAGTAATTGCAACAGTTCCTAAGCTATGTCTGTAATTTTCTGACATTCAAATCATGTATCTCATACATACAACAAAAAGTTTAACTTTAGCATCCAGCAACAATCCAATTATGTAAATTATGCAATTATCACTTCTTCCGTGCAAAATTAGTGTCATACTAGTTTTAAACTTCACTGATGCTAAAGAGAAAAAGGGCTTCAAAGTTGATTTGTCTTCAAAGACATTTAAGAACTGATGAAACATTATGCAATGTGGTCCTCATATTCTTAAAAGGTATTATTTTTAGTGCTTCTTTGAGCGCTTCTTCAGTACTCTATGCTCCGGGTGAGACAGATTAGCTTTCTAATCTGACTGAAAATTAACCTGGCAAGCAGATAAATACACATACAAGTATTTTCATTCATTTTCAGCTTAATTAGTGAGATGATCCAACACACTGGCCATGAAATCACCAGTGCCAACATAATGGAGAGGATGGCTTGGAGCCAGTCTCTCAGCAGCCTTACATAGGCTTAAATCAGTCGTGAGATCTCATTCTGATATAGAATAAACTTTGGTCTTTTATGTTTTTAAAAAGATAATGCTGTCAAGGCTAAACAAAGATAACCAATAAGTCACTAAGGGCTTACCTATTTACAACGCAAAAAGTAAAAGAACAGAAAAAGCAAAGATAAGTCATGAAATTTCCAATTTCAACACTACCAATTTCCATGCACAACTACGAGTGGAGGGTATGGCCTTGTCTGAGATCAGAACATGCAGGATGTGAGTGTATTCCCTGTTGTGCATTACTATGCCCAGAACTGCAGATAGTTAGTGGATTACAGGGTGCTAAGTTTTAAGTTACCCATCTTCTGATACACCTAATCTCAAACTATACCATAGTTCAAGATCTAAACACATGCCTGAGCAAAGGGATGAGCTACGTTCAGCTCAAACCCAGCCGAGGACTTGTCTTTAGGAGGGACCAGTAAGCTCTTAAGCAAAGAAGGTAACATAATTGCAATGGGAATGCAACATTATAATAAGTGAAAAGAAAAATGTTCTTTCTGTGGAAATCTCTGGGTTCGTGTTGTTCTGTGTGTTGTACAACATGCTACCTTAGACACAAATGAAGCTGTAATAGTCCAATATTCTTTGTTTTGCATAGCTGTATTCGTAGAGACAGCCTGTAAATCGTACGGGTTGTAGGGAGCTTTAAAGTTGTTCCTGTCTCGTTGAAGACAATATATATATTCCCCACTATCTTTTAGCAATAAAGGTCTCTGTCAAAAGAGGAAATTATTTCTATGTATATATACAATTTATTTTGCATGATTACAAGTTCTATATGCACATATTTTACTATGAGAAGAAAAACAGAGAAGTACCCAGACTTTTTGCTGATAACAAGCTTAGTAGCAACACTGAATTGACTAGAAAGTTATTCTATTATCATCAAATTTTTCTATTCTATTATTTCCATTCTAAAGAATTATTTTTCAGTTCCACCAGCAGCTTGTTAGATATTACTATTCCTTGTTAAGAAAACAGTCTCATATAACCCTATTAATGTTACAACTTTTTTATCCAAACTTGAACAAATTTTTTAGTAATTAATTTTATCCATCTATAAAAATAGTGGTAAGCACTGTTAAGATTAAAAAAACATCACAAAGGTCTTAAGTAGCAAACATCTATACAGTTAAAGATTGTAAATATCAGAGATACCTAGTTGTTTTGAAAATAAATCATTATAGCTGGAAGAAATTCTAGTTTTGTGGACAACTATGATGCTTCTTAAAAATTTTGCAGCCATATCCGAAATCAAAAGTCCCAAGGGACAAAATATAACATAGATTTTATTTTTATTATGCATCAAAAATATGTCACAACATTGTGCACACTGAAAGAAACGTGATTTTTTTTTTTTGCTGTCTGGGTTTTTTTTGTTCATGAAGAAGTGTGTATGTAAAATTATAATTAAACCAGGTATGTGTCTGTCTGTCATTTAAATGCACCAAACTAGTAAGAGAACACAGGCAGCGTCCCATTTGGCTACATCAAGAGCAGACTGCCCAATACCACTCACAACAAATACTGGCCTCATACTTGGCATGTTTGATCAGGACAGACGTGATCACAATTCTACTTAGTGCTAGAATAGCTCAACTACGGGGAGCACTGGCTAAGTGCTAAGTTTAAGTGATTGCTATGGACCCAGAGATGGAATAAATAATTCTAAGTACCACTATTCTCCTCCCAGAACAATTCTAGCTACCATCTCCTCTCAAAAGTCCGCTATGGCTCTGATCATTGCAAAGTGTAATTTGGTTTCCACTTCCTATTTTTAAGAATTAGAATTCAATCCTGGTAATTAGGTTTGTTGATTCTAAGAACAGGCAAAAGCTTTCAGGAAATAAGTATTTTACATTCATAACCAACATCATTTCTAGAATGTGTAATTGCACAGGATGTGGAGAAGGGAAAGTAAAAATCACCGTAAGTGTGAACTTCTGAAGTCTGGCTACATCAGCCTCTCTAGCTAACCATTCACATGATGGTAACTTTGTTTGCCAGCCAAGTTTGCCTCGAAGCCTCAAAATATGCATTATAACATCATCATCAATTGGTTCTGGTACATCGAGAAAAGAAAAAAAAAAATTTTTTTCCCTTAAACATAAAATCTTTAGATTCATTACGCAAGCCAGCCAGCCATTCATTCTTTAATTTCATTGTATAAGCCTTAACAAGTGTGGAGGATTGGTCCAATGTTATTCAGACTGAGTTGGAAGACACTGAAAACATGTCTTAGAAAGTCTTTCTCAAAAAAAATAAAAAGCCATCAGATATTCAAAATGTATTTTCCTGCAATTGAAGAACAGTTTTTCAATTTACTTCAAAGCAATTTCAATTTCCAGTGATTTTACACTGATCTTTGGTGTAATTTACACAGTAAAATTCAAAGTACTCAGTAGAAAAAATATAATTTACAGGCCAAAGACCTTCTCAGGCACTAAAAAGACTGAAAGGATAAGAAAAGCCTTCTGAAGGCAGAGCAAAATCTCAGCTAAACAAAAAGAATGTTGAAAATAGAAGAATAACAATAATACTTTTCTTTCTAATATTTAAAAGAAATTCCTTCTTACATGGAAACATACTACCCCTTTAGAAATCAGACCAGTCTAATCCTGTATAGAAGAACACTCCAGTTGAACAACAGATTCTATAACATTACGGAAAACAATTTGAGAAGTCCTGGAAAGCATTAAAAATAATTTTTTTCCCATGGTTTTTAATCCCTATTACAATGTGCATAGAAAAAAACTTTGCAAAAAAAGAAAAAAAAAATTAGAATCCACTTGTGGTATCACTCCCTCACAGTTTTCAGAATCAGAGACAGATATTTTCAATGGATAAATAATGATCAAAATCTATTTTTCCCCACACTAATCCTGGAAGATAAGTAGGAAAACATGACTACTCTTTACAAATATTCTAATTAAAAGAGAAATTACTGTAGCTTATATAAAATAGAAACAACATTAAAATAAGAATTCAAATGCTGTCTGAAAGTAAATTCTGCTCTGAGATCAGGTGTAAAATTAAACCATCAGAAAGTGAATACGGAGGATAATGTTCTTAGCCTTTGAAATAAGATTTGAAATGACAGCACTCTCATTTACAGCTGTATCATCTCTCCCCTACACATGTAGTCTTACTCTAAAGGCAGGAGAGGGATGAGGAAAGACAGTAGCAGTTAGTTGAGCATATTCTCCATTATTTCAGTGTAAATCTGAAGTAAACACATCGGCTGTACAGGCATAACTAATAGCATAGTCTCCCCCCCTGATGCTACGACTTGTGTACCTGTTCTATCATAAGAATGAACTTTGGTTCTCAAAGACTTTTTAGAAGATCTTTCAACTTTTGGTTGCTCACAAGTCTTTTTATGGCAACTCGGTTTCAAAACAGCTGTTTGCATTTCAGTCTCTCTAATATTATCTGCAACCGACAGATTAAAAAGGAAAATATTAGTCGTTTAAAGCAGATCACTATGCACAATATTTTTCTAATTTAAGTTAACCTTCCTACAAGTTTACATTGCTGCAACATCTGCTTCCCCAAATGCATTCTGGTGGTTTTAATATTTGTATAGAGAGAGACTTACACACACACAAGATGCTGTTTCTTTTTGTCGACAAGACGTTAAAACTTGTATTCAGATGATCAGTTGACATCAGTTTCTTCAGTATGGTTGGATAAGAAATGTAATACTTGTTTCCTGTGTATCCCATGAGGTAAAGAGGATAACATTGACTTTGACTTTTGTCATTTGTTTGGCCCTGTTTATTACTAGAAAACCTTTTCATCCATTCTGAGGGAAAGAAAGCCTGGACCCCGGGAAAGCAGCACTGCTCAGCAATAGCCAAAACATTGGTGCCTTATCAACACTGTTCTAGCCACAATATAAAGCACAGCACCGTATGGACTACTTCAAGCGAGACCCAGTACAACCTACAATTCAATGCCCTCTTCAACAAAGCATAGTTTCTCAATATTCATGTTTTATGTGCTGAAGACTTACAGCTAGTAGGCTGACAAACAGATTCTTCTCTTCCCTCCTTATGTATTCTTGAGATCCTAAAATTGAACAATATACTCTATTAGGAAAAAACCTGAAGATTCAGTCATACAGGCAAAATAGAACAATCAGGTAAAATACAACTTGTATAATGGTTTGCATTTATGATTAAGATACAGTTGTCCTATGGCACAGAATAAGAACTTTATTCATGATGAATAAAATATACAGTGAGGGTGGGGAAAGAAATAAAAACAAAATTACAGCCCTACCTCTTGTGCTTTGACATAATAGGCATTAGAAGCAGTATTACATAAAACTTGATCATTATTTTCACTAGCCTCAAAGGTAAGAGAGCTTCAAGATTAAACTAAGTTCAAGCTCTGGGAAATGCAACTATGAAAATAATACTTCAAAAAATCAATGGTATAATTTGTTCTCATTCTTAGTAATTCCAAGAGCATGGTATCTACTATGAAAGCAGAAAGAAGGTAATAAGTTGCATTTTCAAAATTAAATTCTTTCCTAGAGAAAGCATAAAAAATAAGAATACTGTAATACAGGATTTGTCGGGGGTTTTTTTCAAGTTCATTCTTAGATTTGTAGACTAATCTGAAAATCTCTTAAATAAGTTCAATATGCATGAAGAAGTAATTCAAGGTTAAGCCAGAGACCTCTGAAAAATACATGTACAATACTAGCCTGTATGAAAACATGAGGAAAATAACTGTCAGCAGTTAAAATACAAAGAAAAGGATACAGGAGAGTAAGCAACACCAGCTTCTTACACATCTTGCAGGTGGCTTAGCTCTCTGTATACACTGAAGTGTACACAGTTTAGATAAATTTTTAATCTGCTCCAACTAATCTCACTTGTCAGGACAAAATGAAAAATAAATACAAAACATAAAGGACATGATGATTTCGTGTACAACTTGCTTTCATTTAACCACTCACATCTTCAGTAACAACAAAAAATAAAGCAAAGGAACAATGGTGAAAAATTAATTAAGGTAACTACGCTTCAGCTAACTGTTGGTCTAACTCTGTTGTGAATATGCTGTAAAAAATTCAGGCTATATAATTCAGACTAAAAGGGTGAATTCATAATCTAGATTATATCAATCATATAATCATATAATCATATAATCATATAATCTAGATTATATCAAAGTGGCAATGGCATCAAAGAAGAATCACTTAGGGGAGCTGAAATTGTCTAAAACTCATGTGCCAGAACTTTTTGCTTTAGCAGCAGCCCCACACTATATATGCACAAGAGCTTCCCACGAGAGTATGGAAGATCAATGCACAAGTCTTGATGTTTCTCTTCCAGGACAGAATTCCATAATACAAACTGCTAAAAGGAAGGACAGAGTGAGCACTGTTCATACCAAGAATACATCTCAAAGAATTTACTCTATTCCATAACTTCTTTCTTCTCCTGGTACTTGTTCACCACAACTTCTTTCTTGTGGTACATGCACACTTAGCTGTGGGTAGCACTTCAAGAGCAGCCTTTTCTTTTGAAGACTGATTTCAGATCTTTGACAAAAAAAGCAGCTTTGCCTGATATAACAGAATCTTAGCTAGAAGTAACAGCTACCTTAGCATTCTCAGTATGGCTCTTCTAGAGATCTTGAACCGTGAAGCTGTCCATGAATGTTCCATGTGTTAGTTCAGGGACTAATCAGAAAGAACGGGAACGGCAGCCATTTTCCAGAAAGATGGGAGAAAGTGAGAGCGGATAACAGAGCAGTGATTATCTATTATTTAGATAGCCATATACAATTATTATCTAAACATCAATAATTATCTGGCAGAGACCACAGTCACTTCTTTGCACATATCTGAGACAAATCTATCACACAGCAGTAGATAGATGCAGAAGACAACATGGCCCAGAATAGACAAGTAAGTGCTCATCTCCTCATGAGACTGTCACGTTGAGAGACACCAATGTTCACTCAGATCTGGAATTCCTGGAGGAAGTGTAAATTGGCCAAACTTTGACATGATCCTATAAATTACATTCTTTGTACTGAAATAAAATTTGATTTTTGCATGTTTACCCTTCCATGGGTCAAGATTATGCAGCTGTCCTCTGCTAGGAAGAAACACTTAGGAACTTCCTTAGGAAGAAACACTTTTTTTCTTTTTTTAAACTAATCTCTTCTCTAGCTAGGACATAGTGCTGCACTGTGCTGGTCTGCTGTCATCTTACCTAGACCAGTAGATCAGTAGAATCTTCTTCAGTACTGGCCTTCGTTCACTATGAATTACATTTTCGGTGTGATAACATGCATTCAAATATGAAAATTTATTCCAAAAGATAAGCGGTGCAAACCAGTTCCCTGGCTGGAAAGAAGGATTATGGTGGTTAGCAATTATCTTGTACTTGAGTCTATGAATGGAGACTTGATCCTCCTTAATTCAAAAATATAGGGACATTCTTTATTTTCAGGACTAGGAACTAACAGTTATAGAATCCTTTCTTCAAAATCTCACAGTTAGAGCAGAGATGATTTCTTAAAGAAATGTGTCAGAAAAATCTAAAAAAGGAATGGAGAACTAGACTGTACTGAACTGGATGGTACAGCCAGTGCAGACAGTTCTGTGCTAAGAGGTGTTTTGCTTTCTGAAAAGAGAAGTGTGAAAGGCAAAAAGTGAAACCTCAGGTAGCAAATGGCAACCCCAAATAAGATTCCTCTGTTGACTGAAGAATGATAAAGTGCTGGCGAAGTCAAATCCAGTATGTGGAAGATGAGACAGAAATCTGTGTTAGCAGCCCCTGATATACTAATAGCAGCACTTATGTGCTTTTCTGAAGATAAATGTACAAAGCCAAAAATGTTATCTGGGCAAAATACACAAATACAAAATAAGTTGTACTGTGAGCACTGAAACTAATGAAGACCGGCAGTTTCCTAACCTGTGCTTTAATACTCCCTTATCACTCCCCAGAAATACTTCCATCTTTAATTTCCATGCTTGGATTCCTACTCTCACATCTCCTTTCTCTCACATCACCTACTAATTAAACTAGACAATTAGCAGCATGTATTGTGGCTGGTGATACAAGCCAGAATGCAAATCCTTACTGGTCAGATATTTTCTGATATCTGGGATGGAGACCATTCTGCCTGGCTCAGGACTGATGAAAGTTGAGGTTCCATTACACAAAAATTCATTTTTCACAAACTGAGAAGAAGTTCACATCCTCCAGATGTCTACATCTCTCATATAAGTTTAGATGCAAGAGATCAATTAGTTCAAAATCCATTGAGAAGAAACTGATAGACAAACTTGATTTTTTTAAAAAAGGAATTTAGGATAAAATACCCCACGTGTGGTTTTAATCCAATCTATAAAATTCAGGAATGGATGTTTGTCTGTAAGAAGGCATTCTTGTCTCTTCAGCCTCAGAAAAATATTTTCCTTCCTCATCACCTGTATGAAAGGGAAAAGAAACCAAAAGATGAACTGTGCCAGAAGACTGGGGATTACGAACCTGTAGAGCTTCCTGCCACAGATATCTATGGAGGATGACAGTGTGAGGAGGTTCAAAAAGGAAGAAGACAAACTTACGGTCAACAGGTTCATAAACAGATATATGGTAGAGCTGCAGCCCCAAACATTCATAATCCAATAATTATGGATGCTAGGGGAGTACAAGGGAAATGAACTGCAGAAGCCAGTCAAGCAGGCTTGCGTGGTCTCCCTAAGTAGCCTCTACTCCTGCTAATGTTAGAGACGGAATCTTGGATTTCACTGATCCCACTACAGAAATTTTTCTGAACCTTCAATTCTTGGCAACTATACATCACCCCTTCAACTTGTCATGCTACTTCAAAGGTTTTTGATAGAGTATTTGAAAGCAATATGAACACTCTTTTAGTTTCACTTCAAGACAATAAACATTAAACAATTAAATCAACTCAGTCATTGTACTCCATCATTAAATTTGAAAAATACTAATACTTGTCTTCTTTTATACAGATGAAAGCAACACAGTACATAGGAATATATTTGCATAGGTTAATATAATATATAATTCCCTATTGACTAGACTATTCCATTTGCAATGACTTCACTAGCACTTCTCCAGATTTTCAGTGACATAAACGAAATCAGACTCTATTGCAATGGGCGAAAATTATAAAGTTTATGATGGAACATCAATCCAGGCTTCACAGAACTCACAGGGAAGCAGTCAAATAATTCAGTAGAAGACATCCATCGCAGTTTCAAATTTTAAGTGGCAGAGAACAAAAAGTTATCATAAAGAAATATAATTACACATACACATTTCCAAAACACACATCTTCCTCTTTTATTGCTGCTTGGTGTTTCCTTTCTGAGCTTGCTCTGTAAACTGCTGTGCAAAGCATAGGGTACTTCCTCTCTCCTGAGGATGACTGGGAACAAAGGATAGAGAAATATATTAATTTCAATAACTATTGACTGAGTGGTCATATATTATAATCTAAAAAAATCAAAGGTGGCATTTATTTAACAGCTATGGAAAACATTTTCAAACCAACCGATGGCTTAACTCAGCTTTCATTACAGAAGTTTTCTGATTTAAGATATACAGCATTTCACACGCATGAAAATTTACTTATAAAAATAATCTTGACAAAGGACTTAAAAATAACGGTGCTCAGAGCACTAAAATTAATGTCTGGTATTTTCATATGGAGTATAAAATTGCTTTCTCCTATTTCCATCAGCCTAAGCCTAAATAGTTACAAACCTTCAGAAAAAGAAATTCTAAATTTAGAACAACAAATCATTGTTTTTCAGGACATTTGAGCCAAAGACTAACTAAATGAAAATACTTCCATTAATCATGTAAATTAGATTAATTTACATGGATTTATAGAGGGAGTAAGGGATTCACATATAGAAAATGTAGAGGTCTGATTTTGGTTATTCAAATTAGCATCATAAAATAGAACTTTGCTACCTTATATGAATGATGAGAATAAACAGTTTACGCTGAATAAGAAAAAGCTAAGATAATGTAAAACAGATTATAATGCCTCTGTCTTGTATTTGAGAGCTACAGTTTACTGCTATGAGAAGATATTTTAAATGACAAAGGCTAACTCCTACTGTAGCATATTTGGTAAGAGCAATTAAGTAATGTGAGGCTCTCCATTGTACTCTGCTTTGGAGAGACAGAAGGTGGCGGGTTATAACAAATTTAGGAGATTCCACCAACAGTGGCAGGACTGTAGTTGAGTTTTAAGCAAAAAACCTTTCTTCCAAATTCCCATATTTTAATTGTTACTTAGTATCAAATACTTCCTCCAGGAAAATGCCTCACAATAAATGGCAGCCTCTGAAGTTTTCCTTACACGGTTCCTAGGAGGAAGACTTTCACTCCCAGGACTGCATAGGCATTAAACATATAATCCACATGTATTCATATAACATCTTCCCAGGCAGAAGCCAGATTTAAAACAAACAAACAAAAAAATTGCTGTATGTAAAAATACTGTAAATCTAGGATTATCCTATGTATAACACGGTTGTCTATACAAAGGATGCCAACCTACACATTAGGTTAACATCACTTTTTTCAGTCTTACAAAACATCCCAATATCCCCAAAGCTGCACTGGCAAACAAAATCAGTTATGCAAAAACTACTTTAACACTGTTGCAAACTCCCGGAAAGTCTCTACAAGCCCCTATATTCTACTACAAATCTGTTTATATTTCGCTGTTGGACCACTCTTAAGACACCCCTAAGAGCTCAGCAACACTACACTTTCAAGAGTCACAGCTGCCCAGGCCCAGAGTTTGGCCCAGAAGCGCACATCCAACAGTGCTGCCTTTAATTTCCGAGTGCACACGCTAACCCTGCCTCCACGATTAGCAGCAACTGACCAGAATTTTTAAAGATCTAATTTTGGGCTTTGGGGCACCCAGATTTAGAAAGGATTCAGGAATGTACATGCTTTTATATTTAACTCTAGTTTAAGATTATATAATTGTAATAGTTAACTCTAAGTCAGACTTTTAGTATAACGGGACTATAGCTAGGAGGATATTAACTGCAATTAAAATATTAACACATAGTCTAGTTTAAAACCATGCACATTCTCACCAGTTCCCTGTTGTCCGTTTCACTGCTGTCAGCCGGTTCACACACAATAGACCTGCCTTTTGCCATAAGCAGTACCTCTGCCCTCTCTGGTTCAAACTGGAGACGAGATACTAATTTTTCTTTCAGTGTTTTGTTTCGCTCATCCATCTTGGGTAGGTATTCTTCATCCTAACAGTAAGAAAACATCTATTGAATTAGATTTGTAGCAATGACTCTCTCCCCACTTGCCCTCAGTGTGAACTTTATACTTGAGAAGATCTGCATGCCTTATTAGAAATCAGGTGGTGTTTGGATATTTGCTTCTGCAGTGTTGGAACTGAAAGTTCACACAGTTGACAAATTAAAACCAGCTAATTGTACACTAAGTGGCAAACTAAACATGTATTTGCTTTGAAAAATGAATAATGTAGAACTATAAAGGCAAATACATTTACTGCATTAATCATAATTTAGATAAAAGAATGTACATTTTTACAAGGACTTCTACAAGAAAAACAAAAGAATTTCTGAATTTTTTAAAAGTCATATACTATATACAGTATATATGGAAAGTTTAAAAGCATCTGAAAAGATGTTTTGAGGATTTTTTAAAATCCTGAATCCAGCCAAAAATAGTAATCTAAAAAATCCAGTTCAAAAAGACCATTGTACTTTCTAACCAGGAAAATATTAACACAAGTTTAAAAAGCATTCAAAACCAGGACAGAACAGAGGTCTTCATTCCTGACTTGCAAGTCTCACTCAGATATCATATTAGCTTAGTTTCCCACTTAGGTGCCCCTTTTCTGTTCCTTCACATGCTTCAGAATCACAGCATCATCAAAGCCCAGATATGATAATACATAACGTGGTAAAACTATGAAGTATTACAAATTCTAACTTGTGTCTCTATCTCCAGAAGCTGATTTGCAACAGTTAATTATGAACTGCAAATATGTATGTGTAAAATCGAATTTAGATCAAAATAGATTACTGCTGATCAACATCTGCAAAACTAGGGGTAGGATCTGGCTCAACATATGCTGGCTCACTGTATATAACCAGCTTGTGCTATATTCACCACTTGTAAATCTGCTCTGTGCTGACATTTGCTTAAAAGGGTCAACGAAAAGCCGTTTCCTCCTTCCACTGATTTGGTCTTCATTGATGGACCAGAGACAGATATGTAACAGGAGAAAGTAGTCTACAGGACACGCAGTTCCTTCATCACCTCTGTTTCATATGTTATTAGCTTACAACCTGTATCTCACAGAATTAAACACACTCATTTCCCACCAAAAAAATTACTGATGTCCCAATAGCTGATATCTAGAAAAAGATGTTTTATTTGGATTCCATTATAAATCTTATGAACTATTTAGGCCAAATACTTAAATTCAAGAAACACCACTGAAATTATGTTCCATATTGCATTTTCAGTGATATAAACAGAGTACACAAAAGAATAAAAGCTGCTTGAAGTGTTATTTGCTGTTGCACATTACACAAGAGAATGCGTATGACGTAGATAAAATAGAAAGAAGTAAAAATCTTGCCTCGCTTCATATTCGAACAGCAAGAAGCTTAATCATTGGCTACTGTGTCTTTTGTCTGGGGTTTTGAAACTCAGTGTAACAAGTCAATGCAGCAGGACTGCTCATTCCAGTGGGAGTTAAGGCAACTCAACAGAATAACAGAGTTTTATGAGGCTGCGAGCTTAGCTGATCCCTTGAGCTCAGTTTTTTTCTCCCATTTCTCTGGGATCCACAATTAGCCCTGTACATCAGGGCTCAGGTCACTCAGTTGATCTTAAAATTAGGAAATGGAAGGAAGGAGGACTTGTCTTACCCCAGTGGCTGAGATCTCTTCTGAAACCACACAATCTTGTTTACATCTAGCTGTATCCACAGTGGCAGCAGCTCTCTGTGCTCACTAGATTAAAGATGAACTGCAAGATGGTAAAGCATGAACATACCTTAAATTTCATCATGTGCTGAAGAGGTTTGCTGAATCCTGATCTAATATTAATGTGGAAGTTCAGTCTACTTCTGAACATCTGGTAACATTAGTTTTTTTGACAACATAAAAGCATCCTGTGGTGAGAAGTGGCACTTTCCCTCTTCTTTATTACTTTATAAACTAAGTTTCTAACAGTCTAAAACAGTTTCAGCAGGGAAGTGCTGTGAGAAATAGTCGTTGAGGCAGCTGCAAGCAAATGGTGACAGTAATCCCTTCACCCACTCCTACTAGATCCAGGACATCCCTTCGCACCCCAAGAATGCAAAGTGCTTCTGTTTCCTTACCGTTTCTTACCACTCAAGCAGTAGCTAATATTCCCATAACCAATACACTTTCAGACATCACTTGCATGTTCCTCAATCTATTTAGTGCAGAACAGGTGGTTCAAACCAATGCAACAACTAACTGTGCACCAGAACTGGTCAGGGCAGTCCACAGACAAAGTTAGCTCAACTGTGGAAGTGGTAAGCTCCAACCGAGTAGTAATAAACTCTTTACCCATAACAGCTAGATCCAAAAAGACTGCAATCATGCCTCGAGGTGGCATATATACTAATAATGCTATACTAGCAATAGCCATGCAGAAGTAATTAGTACCTCTAACAGCAGTATCTAACATCTTTTCTAAAAATCGACTGTTACAGGTCCGGATAGACCCACTTCCAGCTACACCCCCAAGCTCCTCCTGTAAAGTCTTGAGGTGTAACATCATTGGGGAAAACAGAGAGGATGGCTATGACCCACTCATTTCATTAACTTTTAGAGCACAGCAAGATAGCAGAGCTAAAAAGGAAGGAAAACTGAAGAAGACTGAAGACACCATTCATTTTTAACAGAAACAAAACCTAAAACTGCCTTTTTTTTTGGCAGAAGGATCAAAATTTATTAGTCAAAGTATAAAAAATAATCAATAATGTATTAAGGACTTAGCTGATCAAATAATATAAGGACTTGAAATCCAGCTGGTGGTCAATCGAAATACTTGATCTTTCCAACTGCCAGCAAAAAACGTTGAGAAACTAATAAAATGCATATCTGCTTGAAAAATGTATGGTTTGTTAGAGTCTCTACCTGTATTGTGGATGTCTTAGTATCTATGCATGTCAAAATTTAGGCATGTGTAAACAAAAACCTGCAAGTTTGGTCTGTAGTAAAGACGGACAGGATATCCAAGACACACCAGTGTTATCTTGCAGGACCTTTTTCCCTCAGCACTTGCAAGATGCTTGTTTAATTTGTATCTAATTGTAGTTGGAAACAATTTAATGGCTTCTTACAGCTGACCTATGATATATTTTCAAGAAACAAAACACAAACCTTTCTTAACTGCTTGGCTTTTTCTAACAAGGACCAGCGACGCAAGCTCAAAGACAGCCCACAAGCATTAGGATATTCATACAGCAATGGTGCCAACAACCAGCCCTTAGACACTCCTTGAACCAAAAGTTATACAGGGTTAGTAACCCTCAGCTGGTAATTTATTTTATTGCCTGTAGTATCACAAAAATCTTACACTCTTTGGGGTCGGTTCTGCTTTCTTACTATCCTGAAGAGTTCAGTGGCTTTAACGGGCATGGTCAACTTGTTCCCACCCCCACCCCCCCCATGGTATTGGAGCCCCCTCTAAATGCGGGAAAGGTGGAAAGTTAACCTGGCCTAAGCCACGGCTAAAGAGAAGCCCTACTCTTCCACTGCAGA